TGCTGCAAAATTTTGTTTTCTTCAAAATGAGTGATGAAAGTGAACATTCTGAAAGCGAATTTTACTATCCAGGCGAACTGTCCGATACAGAACTGCTTCATTCGCCAACCCACTCCGAAAGCACAGAAACAAAGTCAACACTCCTCAAAAATGAAGAGGTTTCTAAGAAGCCAACAACAAGCAAACAGGCAGTTAGGAAGACAACTTTTCCGAATGAAATGTCCGATAATTAATCTTTGGAATAAGCAAACAGTCTTGAGGCGAAACTTCTTTCAGTGGAAAGCATCACATAATTCCAACAACGCGAAGAAAACAAAGTACGATATAAATGTTTTATTCGAGTTTCCAGAGTTTCTGGGAGAAGTTGGTTAAACCACAGGTAACCCAAGCTCAATATATAAGAAGCTCAATTGTGATCAAAAGTGAGCTTCTCATATATCGAGCTTGGGCTACCTGTGGTTAAACCAGAGAAATCACAAACATACCCTGTGTACAGTAGGAAAAATTGCGCTGCAGTTTCTACATCAGTGTTGTTTGAAGAGACAAAACTGAGTACGAATACAAGTTCATTACCGTACAGTTCATCCAGATAATAAAGCTCTCTTGTGTTTAATAATGTAATTTCCTCCACACAGCAAAGCCAGCAAAGTCAGTAAACCCAGGCACTGTTTGCGGGAGCCAACATCGGTGTCATTAATATTCAGTTGTTGGTTTTCCCTTGTTCAAGAGAATCCAAGAGGTCGACAACTGAAATAGCTTGAAACGACGCCGGAATTTTCTTTAGTCTTCAGACGAAGAAGATTGGTGAACAATTTCAGTGAAGCGTGAAGCGAACTTTTGTTACTCGCCAAGTTTTTGACGGTTTTGACATTTTTGACAGCTTTATGTCAAGTTTTTGTTGGCTTTTTAGACAGGTTAGCCAATACCGTTAGCATGAATTGTAATTGTGGACTTACATTGAAAAACAAAAATGAGAAAACGAGTCGTGATTTTCGATGAATTTCGAGTTTCTTGTTCGACGCGGAGAAACAAATGACAAGTTTTTATTGTAGAATCTTTTTTGTAGTTGCCCAGCGCGCGGCCGTCTGATGTTATGTAATCGCGTCGTATTTAGGTTCAAACAACTTTTAATTTGATTTAAGCGACTTTTTTAATTCCGGTTTTCCCTTCATAAAGAGAGGACAAGGCGAAACACCTCAGTCGGGACAGCCTGCCAAACGAAGTCAAAACTCCCAGGCTAAAATGTACCCACGGCCACAAATCCACCGCAGAATTAAAAAAAGTCGCTTAAATCAAGTTAAATCGGTCAAATAACCACACCAGGAGCAAACAACACACGTATGGGATAAGGAAAGCCATTTTTATTGAGAATTTTCACTTTTAACTACCTCCATGGATATCTTGTAGAAAATCCCATATAAA